CATAGTTGTTAGAAAAAAAAAAACCTTCTAAGATCTCTATTTCAACGCTCATTGCTATCTTCGTAAAAGTCAAAACCCTGAAATTCCAAGTCGGCGCCACTGTCGCGATAGAACTAAAATCCATATAGCTTCCTCTTGAAGTTTGTCGATGTCGTCCCATACAATTTGGACTTATCACATTTAATCCACGCATTTCGCTGTCTGGTAGCTTGGCACTTTTAATTCACGTCTAATCAGAATAAAGAGACAAGAAAAATGGGGTCGCGACAAACGGCACGACCTTTAAGTATCCACTTTACTGATTGGCTAAGAATGACATCACTACTAGTGTTTCATCATGGATGTAAATTCAACATTGCTTTTTTGTCAGACTAGGCGTTCGTTCATCAATCACGGTGAAAGTTACCATTCAGCAAGTTATATGGATATCGCGACGGGCTTGAAATAGGAAGATTTTTTTTCCAACGACAGAAGAATAATTTCCATGAAATGCAATAGCTGTAGTGAAAGATGGTAACAAAGTTGGCAGTCTTCGGCATGACATTGCAAAATTTGCCCCAGTTATGGATTCGCAAATATTTTATAAAGCCAAAACAAACGTGCTTCAAACCACTCTCCCAGTTACAGGTTGCTACAATATTGCAACATTGGTTTCATTGCCGGTGACGCTAACTACGTAAACAGTGGTGAACGCGCTGCTCTATTTATGTCACAGCTATTTCGCGTTCACTCATCGTTTTACGCAATTGACATTTATTTTTCAAATTTTGTTATCAGAATCAAAACAAACTGCAAGGAAGTAAACTGTTAATACAACGGACAAAAATAGGTTTTTGTTTTTATATTTTTTTACTGGTGTAGAAAAAACACCCCTGGGCGTTTGCTAGGATATGACCTCAACTCCTTTATTTTATCAAAAGTGGGGGGTGGGCGTTTGTCCGGGCATGGGCTCTTAGCCGGATAAATACGGTATTGCAATTCTAGTGACTGGTCACCAACTGTAAAAATTTAGTGGTTAGCAATATGCGATATTGATTTGGTGATTTGGTATTGACCTGACATTGACCTTGTATTAAGCTTATATTGGCCTGAGGTTGACCTGACATTGATCTATTTATATATAAATGACCTGGTGTTGGTTTGATGTTGAGCTGGTATTGACATGGTGTTGACCTGACATTGACCTTCTATTGACCTATAAATGACTTGATGTGACCTGATATTGAGCTGGTATTGACATGATGTTGTGACTTACCCATGAGTATGCCTCAGCATGTGGGTGTGTGGCTTCTTTCAAGTAATCATAAAATATTTTCAACATGGACTGTAGAGTAATAGTAGGTCGTTCTGTTTGGTTGTCATCTTTAGGAATCATGTAGCCTAGGATTGTGGGTCTCTCCACAATCAACTGAGCCATGTCCTGAATTCAAAAAAAAAATAATAGTTTTCATGTGAAAACGATGCCAATAAAAAAAAAAGAAAAGAAAAGCATTACACATTAAGCAACATGTACCACCATGAAACCATAACAAAAGCAACTCATTCACTGATTGGGTGATTGATTAGTTAAATTAGCCAACCAGAATGAGTCTTACATAATACTTACCAATGCCAGATCTGCCATGTTGTGTAACTGGTTTAGAGGAGCATGTCTTGAAAGGAAGATAATGTATGCACTGATAAAACTAGGATCTGTTTCCATTTGGCATGCCTACAAACAATGAGAAGTAAATAAATAACTGTACAGAGAATAAATTAGCCCCAAATTTTGCTTTCTGCACACTCAAGAAGTTATCATTTCAAAATATGATTCTGACAGAAAATACTCAAAATGTGAATTTCTCTTAACTGATCATCAAAGCAGTGTCCAAACTAATCATGAAATTATTTTTTTATATTTTATTCTATTATTTATATCTGCATTACACTATGTAATTTGGTAACAGAAACATTTTTAAAAAAATATAAAAATACTATGAATACTATGTTTCATGGTCAATTTAATGTCTTAATTTTGCTGGGTGTATTAACCAAGTTACATTTCCAAACATGTTTTATGAGTCAAGTCCTTATATACTGTGATAAAATATAGGCCAAAAAAAACAACACATATTTAAACAAACATTTTGACCAAAGTAGAATGTAATGTCTCAGTAGTACCGTACTTATCTGGGTAAGAGCCCATGCCTGGGCAAACGCCCACCTCCCACTTTTGACACAATAAAGAAGTTGAGGTCATATCTGACCACGCCCAGGGGGTCTTTTTCTACACAAAAAAAAAATATTTTCTATTCGTTGACTGTGGTTGTATTAAGAGTTGACTTTCTTGAAGTCTGTCGTGATATTTATAAAAATTGTTAATTGAGTAAAACAAGGGGTGAACGCAAAATAGCTGAGTCTATAAAAATATTTATTAAAGCAGAAACGGTAGTTCTCTTTTTGAAATATGTCATGACCCTAAAAAGGGCCGGCCGTTTGGTTTGTGCTTCCTTAGAAACGATTCAAGCAAATCGTATAAGGAGAGCCGCTAAGCAAGTGTTGCACTCGTTGTACTCGACAATGAAACGAATGTTGCAATACTGTAGCAACCCGTACCTGGGAGAGTGGTTGAAATCACGTTATTTTGGCTTTATAAAATATTTTGTATCAGCTTGCAAATCCAGCAATTTTGCAATGTCACGCCGAAGACTGCCAACTTTTTTACCATCTTTTATCACCGCTATTGCATTTCTGTCTTGAAAACTATTCTTCTGTCGTTGGAAAAAAAAAAACTTTCTTTTTCAAGTCTACCGCGATATCCATATAGTGAGACATTCCAACCGCCGGAACTTGCTGAATGATAACTTTCACCGTGATTGATAAGCATCGAAGCATAAGAAAGCAATGTCACGATTTGACCTTTATGATGAAACACTAGTAATGATGTAATTCTTAGCCAATCAGTAAAGCAGATGCATAAAGGTCAAAGAAGATTGCTAGACTGTAAACAAAAGCATCGTGTGCTATCGCAGCACAGCGACCCTATTTTTCTTTTCTCTTTATTATGATTAGACAAGAATGAAAAGAGCCAAGCTGCAAGACTGCGAAATCTGTGGATTAAAAGTCCAAATTGTGTGGGACAATATCGACGAACTTCAGGAATAAGTTGTAGGGATTTTGTTCGACGGCTACAGTGACACCAACTTGAACTTTGAGGGTTTTGAGTTTGACGAAGATGGCAATGAACGTACAAATAAAGATCTGAGAAATTTTTTTCAAACAGCTATGAATTTTTATAATTTTTACTGTGTAAATTGTAAATTATTATTGATCTTGTATGACAGTTGATTCGTAATTTGTCGAGACCAGAAATCATTGTACGCAGTTTAACCCTGACATTTTAATTCATTTTGAGTTCACGCATATTGGGTGTGAAAATCCTAATTTAAATGATTCCTCACAGTTGTTTTTTATTATTTCTGGTTTATTTGTCACATTATAAGCAATACATTATTTTTGTTTTACTTCTAGTGTTGCATATTTTTCATTTATTTTCGTTGCATGTTTTCATTTGCCGTTCTATTCCCTGCCACAGTTCGATCTGCATGTTGTCAATTTTCGTTTTTTTGCCGGGGATCTCCTGGCAAACGCCCACCCCTTTTTTTTGGCAATTTTCCACGTTCAGGACCCTGGGCTTATACCCGGATAAATACGGTAGATATACTCCTTAGAGACACATGAGAATTAAGTACTTACTTGTCGGAGATGAAAACATGTCTGAACTTGCACTGCTTTAAAATGAGGGAGTCTGGGCAAATAATGCAACAGCCATTTATGAGATTCTAGGTATTGAGGACACTCCCCAAATTCCTCCTCTTGGTCCATAATCATGACATCATCATCACTGTCATCAGTATGATTGGATGACTTTGGAGAAACAGAGTCTGCATGTTTTTTAACATGTTTGTCCAATACCATAGATAAACCCTGGCAAACAAACACACAAGATGAATTTTCTATAGTTGGGCATTTAAAGTAAAGACATGTATTTATTATATTAATATTATGCTTCTATCATTGAAAACAATGTATCTACATTAGTTTCAAAATGTATCAGCACGGAAATTCAAAATTTTTCTAATA